GCGGCCGCGCCGCCGAGGCGGGAGCCGGACAGGCGAGGAGGCATCGTCCCCGCACTGATGCCTGTCATCCTGTCAGCCTTGACCTTCAGGCTGTCCTCAGCATCCACACTGCAGCCTGCCTGCACTTCCCCGCTGACTGCGAGCGACTGTTGTCTCACTGCCTGACCTTACGCAAACACGATACAAACAGACAGCCCACCTCAGCTCCATCACTGTCGGCTGCTAATACAGGAGATTGATAGCCACATGAAATTATCTCCCTGCTCGACCTTCATTACTAGGTGGCATATTCTGAGTGACAGCCAACCTCATTCTGGGGAAAGCTAAACCACCCGCTTGGGTTTTTTTACTGTCTAAAAGTGAAGGAACTTCCTTTTGTAAAGAAAATCAACACTTTCGACAGAAAAAGAAGCATTTGTTAAACAGAAAAATGACTTGTGACTTGAACCTTTCCCAGACCACCATGCATACCAGTAACACCTCAATGCATGGCTACTCCAAGATGCTCCGTCGGACACTGTGCCGGGTCACAAGGCAGGCGTGCTCGCACCTCTACAAATTTTACACGGAAGGTTTTTCAGCTCTGCCATGAGCTATAGGTTTCCCGGGGAGAGCACGGCCAGCCCTAAGGCAACGAGCAACGTATGGTCGTGGCAGGTGGGAGGAAGGGACGTAGCTAAAGCGAACCTGGCTTTACACACGTCGCAACTGCCAGTAAGGACTGCATGGGTAAATATTGGCTTTCTGTCGCTCTCTGCCAGCCAGCTCACCGATGCACGATGCATGTGGCCTAAGCAGCTTCCTGAGAAGAAATCGTGACTCTTCTGCTCAGATATTCAGACTTCTGAGAGTAGACATGAAAGATACAGAGTCACATTTTCTCTCAGATGCCCTGCAGCCCAATTTTGTGATGTCCCGATAGCAGAGGCCAGATACCGCACTCCGCAGTCCCCGTACCAAACTCCTCTGGCTGCCGTGCACTGCGCAGAGCCTGCCCTCGGTGAGAAAGCGCAATGCCGCAGCCTTGCAGCTCCCATAATCCCCAGGCAACAGGGAGACGGCAGCGACCAAGAAGGAATATGAACCTTCAGCCTTTCGATGTGAAGTCAACCATCAGCTAGAGACAGCTAAGTCACAGCAAACCATCTCGTTCCTTTCCTGGAATACTTTAAACAAGGTCCTGGCATAGCCCAGCCGTGGCCGAGTTGCCCCTCCAGCAGCACCCAGCAGTGTCCCAGCACGCACAGCAGCCACAGGCAGCCCTGGGCAGCTGTACTGGCACGGGACCGGGGTCTGCACGCCGCACGGCTTTAAAGCAAGACATTTTCCTGAGCCCACAACTCTCCAGCCCAATGGGGAGCAAATGGTGGGGTGTCACCTCGGCCAGTACTGTCAGATACCTCTTGCCACCAAGCCTGATGAAGAGGAAGCTCCAGCTCCGGCTATGCTGGATCCTGTGAAGAGGTACCTGGGGTAGCCATGACCAGCATCCAACCTCCTCTCTGTTATGGGCCCAGCGGGCTTTGAACCAGGTCCTGTCCCCACAACAGTCTCCTGCCGGGATGAGCCCTGCCTATGGAAGAGGGGCAGTGGGGGCAGCCAGATTCCCCTGCCCAGCCTCATCCCCTACACGCCGTGCCAGCAATCTCCTAAATACACATCTAAAAATCTCAAGGTCCTGACCCCCTATGGGACTTGGGTGCCCAAACACCATCCAGCTCCCAGGAGAGCGTAAGACCCGAATGCCGGTGCCGCAGGGACACACGCTGCCCAGTGTGCTCAGTGACCGAGGAGGCCGGTGCCCTCTGCAACACACTTCTGTGCACTGCGCGCTTTCGCTTACCTTTTCGGCTCTGGATTCGGCTGGGATTTGGAATCTTTCCTTTTTTTGGACTCCTTTTTGGAATCCTTTTTTGTCTCCGCTTCAGCGGCAGGGGCATGAGACACTTTGCCCCCCTCGCCTTCTGCACTTGGCTGTGACCCACCAAGTAATTCTGCCTTAAGTTGGCTTTGGGCAGTGATTGAAACGCGGGGGGCAAGGCCAGCAGCAAAAGTGAAAGAAACAAGAAGAAAGCATGAAAAAACTCAAAATAAACCAAAAGGAAACCAAATTGAAAGCAAACAACTGAAATCAAATTAACAATTGGCAAAGAAGGAACGAATGAGCAAAGGAAAGTCAGAACTAAAAAGAAACTAAGGAAGCAAAAACTCGGTTTCCATGACAAGATGTATGAAAGTAACTGCAAAAGCAAGCGGCAGCCTTGCAACATGAAACCTGGGCAATGTGTGTCATAATTTGGGATGGTATTTACCAGAGGGTTTATGAAAACACATAATTATTTTATAACATTCCTTCCTTCAGCAGCATATGCAGGATAGAGAGCGATGTCTCAAAGTATATAATGCAACTTAACAGGCAAAAGCAGAAAAAGAAGCTGCAATAGATGCTACAGCTGTCAACAAAATACATAGAAAAGGGAAAAGCACAGCTCCAGTTCCTCCCATCAAAGGTTTGCCACACTTGAGAGAAAGGAATGGGCTACTTCTGAAATTGAAATTGCTTTGCAACAGCAGCAAGATGAAATTTTCAGTTATGTCTAAGCAATTTCCGAACTGACATCACACGGACTTTACATGAAACATGGGTGCCCAAGGTCTTAAAGCCCTTCTGAACACTGAAGTTTGATACTGCTGAAAATTTCACTGCTGCAACTTGTCAGATCCTCTCACACAACAATTAAACCGGCACAGTATATCATGTACTTCTATTTATTCAACCCATGGCAGTCACCTATCTTGTCCAGAACTGCATCTAGCAGGTGCCTGGGTAAGAAAGTTAAAACCCCTCATTTCTGGATCCTTTACGTGCATTTTTATTGCTTACATTAAACAAGCAATGAAACAAACAAACAAAGCGACTATGCCACTAGAAGCGCTGCTGCCAAACATCCACTGTGAAAACAAATTGGGGACTGTTGTGCATTATCCAAGGAAACCTATATTTGACAAAGTCATCCCTTGCTGGCAGGGAGCTGCTAGCCGATAGGAATTCCTTACCTGTTGCCATGAACATGTGATGCACAAAAGGCAAAGCTGTAGTGAAGTAAGGTGGGGTCAATCATAGCTCCGTTTTCTGCGCGCTCTAGCAAATCTCTGAGGTAGCAGAGATGTCTGTGACAGCCTCTCACTCCATTACGTGCACAATACTCATCTAGCACAAAGACCTGGCCAGGACTAAACCAGCCCTGTTTAGAAATAAAGAGACTTGATTTTAAATATGAGTTATTAAATACAAAGGCTATCAGATTTGGAGGTGTAGTGGTCAACTGTTCTAATAAAAGAAATACAAACCTAAGGCTACGTTAAGGAAAAAGGAGAGAGGTCACTCTTAAACAATACAGTCTGTACATCATCACCCAAACACAGCATATACTCAGTGCAACCGTTAACAAAAACATATTATGCTACCATTAACGGGAAATGTCATTTAAAATGCTGAAAAGTTAGGCCAGTTCATGTCAGTGCCTAGCAAAAAAAGAAATAAAAGGGGGGAAAAAAAAGACTTACACCTTTAAGAGATGATAAAGGTTTGATTATTTAAACAGTGTGAAACAGTAATCTCATTTCGGGGATGGGATTGTACATTCGGCCAGGAGCAAGAAGACCCATCTGGGGGAGAGCATGGAGGATTACACTGAATAACGACTTCTCTTGCATCTGGCAGGTAGGAACGTCCTGCAGACGGAGGAAGGCAGCTCCGCAGTATCAGAAGGGGACGTTTCCCATCGTCCTTATCATGTACCGCTGGCGACGCGCTCTGCCATCGCCCACCTCCTCGGCATCGCAGCAAAGGGAGGCTCTGCTCACGAGCAGGATTTCTTTACACATCCAGAAACCTCAGCCTATTTCTGTCTGTCAGTCCTGGGGGCCTGGTGACACATCGCTTGCGGTGCAACGTCAGGGCTCCCGAGGAGGACGCCCTTCCCTGCGAGGGGACGGCTCCGGTGAACGTCCCGGGACAGCCGAAGTGGAGCACGCCTCTGCCTTCGGGAAAGGCGCTAGCGAGAACAAGTATATTCTTGTAGATTGCTTTTCAAAATGCTGCAAAACCGTCAATATTTACATGGAAATTTGGGTGCTAAACAATTGCTAAGACGCAGCTCTGGAATGCATCAAGCTGCAAAATCTTTCATCGTTTAATTGAAAAGTTCCTGCAGCGGGCGGGAGAGTAGTTGAGGCAGAGCACTGCCCCTATAGGCAACTTCTTTGCCACCCCATCTGTTACCCCAAATGCTACATCTTAGAAACAACACTGCTGTGAAAGATTAAAATATATTTTCTACCACTCAGATGACACCAAATCTTTTCTAGATGCCAAAATAGCTGCTTTGAAAAGAGTTGAAGAAATATCAATTAAGAGCTCAAAGACATAGAGAAGGATTTGCTCATCCTTATTGGGCCAACTCCAAAACAGATTGAGAAAAGAATTAAAATAATGAGGGGAAAATGATAGATATAGGGAGTAGCTACAGTGCTGGGATCACTAGAAGTGCACATTTCAAAATGAAGCCACAGAACAATGCAGATGGGACGGCGCTCTGGAAGGCTATTTTTTGGGAGGGGTATTTTGCCTTCACTGCTTTTAACAGTATTTTTGTTTGCTTTTTGGTTGCTGGTATTATGCTTGATTATGGATTTCTTTACTTTGCCTGTTTGTTACATCCTCGGACCGTCTCTTCACCTTGCCTCTCTTCGCACAAGTCTTTGGCGATCAGGCACAGTAAAAATGCAGAAATGCCATAACTGTTCTGCGATAATGTCGTAACTGTTCATTTACCGGGGTAGAAATGCAGTTGAACTTGTTATATTCACCTAATATATAAAAAGGACTCAGTCCTCCCTACGGGGTGAAATCTCAGCCCTACCGACATCAAAGGGAAGGCTGGCACTAATTTCACTGGAGCCAAGCATCATGCCCAGAGTTTGGGGTGAAGGAAGCAGGGGGCTGGACCCAGCGATCCAGAGCACCCCACGTTGCTCCCCTGCACCACGGTCTGAGAAGCGCTGGTCCTCAGGCGGATGGAAGGGATGGGGCAAACACTTGAGATTGCTGCCATGGCTCAGTGAGGGGAAACCTGAGCAGAAGCTCTGAGGTTCAGTGATGAGCCTCATACCTCATGAGAGCACAGGCAAGCAGACTATGGCGGAGAGATCCAGAGCCCAGGAGGACCAGGTGGTCTTCTTTTGCATGGCAGAGGTAGGAAATAAAAAACCTGCTGCTGAACAGGGCTCCCAAGGAGCAGTAAATGCTGCTCCCCTCAGCCCCAGGAAAAATCTAAGGTTTGATGAAAGGCGGTATTCAGACAAATCCCCCACATCTTCAGGCAGATCCTGGCTCTTGATTAAGATTTGCCTGGCGCAACCAGCTGACAACCAGCAAGTCTGGCAAACACAGCTGATAGTGATGACACATCGGGTGTCTCTCCCCAGTGCAGCTAGGTGTAGCTCAGTGTGGTCTCCCAGATGGTCTTTAATGGCATGAGGAAACCTGGAGGGGACAATGGAGTAAGGCTGCATAGCACAGGGAGCTCGACTGACCGTGTTCAACAAGCTGAACTGCACCAAGAAGGGGACACGTGTCCCAAGCACCAGCAGGGAATGCAACGGGAGCTTTGGAGCTGGGTAATGCAAGGTTTGGTCAGGGTTGGTGTAACACTGGCAATTTTTCTAATGGCAAAAGCAGCTGCTGCTGCAAAAAAACAGATTTTTTGAGGGAGAATCTTCACTTTTCAGTAGCTGAATTTTCCTATTTACCATAGGAAAACCAAAAGAATTTCATTTTGCTGGCCTGCTTCATGGACCTTTTAACCTGACTCCTTTGCAACATGTTGACTAGGTTGGGCACTCTGGAAGACCACCTTTCCTCGAGAAATGATGTGCTGTATTATGCAAATCCCACAAATGCTGACACATCATGGGCAATACAGCTCCAGCAGAGACTCGGCTGCCAGCAGCGGGTTGGGAAGTCTTGGGAAGAGTTGAAGGGCAGTCTCAGACACAACGCACGTGTCCAAGCAAACAGAATGAAGACCTATGCGTGTGTAGGGTCCATATGAAGCTGGAAGAGGTGCATGCTCTTCCCAAAAGTCCAGCAAGAGCTGTGAATGCGACTGCGTTACCAGTTTGTTGACGATGGAGCCCTCAGCAAGCTCTGCAGACAGCGCTCTTCCCTTCCCCAGCACGGTGCTCTCTGCCAGCAAACATCACTTCTGCCATAGCTGAGATCAGCCAGTCTGTTTGTTTTCACAGGGATGCCCGGCTCAGCCAGCGAGTGGGCTCGCAGTGACGTGGTGTAACCCGGTTCCACGGAAAGGAGATGATTATCCTCTGTGTCACAGTAAGCCACTGTGTCAGGGTGAGTCCTCCCTGGCACCTCCACGTCCACGTTTGAAAACAAGAAGCGTGACGAAGCAAAACTCTGTGGGACCTTGCATGGAAATGTCCTGTTGGGAGTATAACAATTGCCCAGCGGCACAGAGAGAGGACAGAGCAGGCTTACCACAGGCTCGCAGCTCCTCCAGGCAAGCCAGCGCAATGGTATCACCAACATCCCACAGACACATCAAGAGCAACGGGAGCTTTTTGCAGCTGAACTCAAATTTTGAGGTCAGTCTGTTTTTTTACGCCATGATCAGGACAAAACCATATCAAAATAAGTGAAGAAGCATGTGAAATCCAAGTGCAGGTGAACACAGCCCATTATTCTCTTCTTTATAACACTCTGCAATGGGTGATTTGAAAGAAGATGGTTAATTGGTGATGCTCTGCTTCGAAGAGGCAAAAGTCTTGGTGCTGAGGGGAGCTCCACCACTCCAGTAGCTTCTAGCAAGGGCCTAAACATCTCAATAACAAGCAGAAGTGTGGCTGGTGGGTTTCTTGAAGAGAAACATTGTTAAACATTTTCAGTGATAGCCTTGCACCTCTCCATGAATTTAATTCAACGGACACAGCTCTCTCACCAGGCCCGAAACTGCACAGAGACAAACCAGCTGCAAGCCAACCTGTCAGACATGCATGGATGGGGATGGTCTTCCTAGGGTCAGCCATGCGTGGGGAGCAGAAGCTGCATGCCAAATTTACTGCCTGCCAGAGCAAAGACAGCGATGGAACCGGTGAGAAACCTGCTGCAGGTCTGACAATGCTCCCACCAAGCCTACTTGTACCACTTGGGTATCTGCGAGTAAAGTGCACGCTGCAGCCTTCCCCCATCCCGTCCTTACCTCAGGGGACGTCCACAACCGTTCCTCCTAGCCCTGCCTCTCATCAGGAAGGTGACAACTCGCTACCACTAAGGGCATTTACTGGATCTCAGCCTTTCTGAGGAGATCAGCCCTTGCGTGCGGTGCAAGGAGCAGAGCAGGTGAGAGGAGCACCATGGTGGAGGGGGACGTGGAGGACATGATTTGAGACTGATAGTCTCACTGCCAACTGCTCAGTTGTGTTCCCAGGTGGATGCTTTTCACAGCAAGCCACTCAAGAGCCCCAGCTCCAGGGGCTACACAGCTGGCAAAAGATGAAGGTTATCGGCATGGAGTGGTCCTTCTGCTGAAGAAGCCCACGATGACACCCCAGTGTGGAGGTCTCTGTGCAACACTAGGAGGGTGGCAGGTCAGGATCTGTCCCATGCCAAGTTCAGGACAGGAGCTCCATTTCAGGCCCCTCTAGAAAGGCTTCATCCTGTTGTTTTCTCAGAAACTAAGAGCCTCTTCATCCTCCTCACTGAAACTGCTAAAAATTAATTGTTCGAGTTGTGTATTGTTAAAGGTTATTGTCATTTAAACCCTCACAGTAGCTAAGAGCCCCCAAGCGCTGCACCCCAGCCAAAGGCTACAAGCTGTCCTGGAGCATCTCAGTGCCACTGTCCTATAGACCACGTTACACAGCAGTGGGCTGAGAGCTGCAACCTGCGCTCATGAGGATAACCAGGGCGGGCGTGCGACTACATGAGTGTGGACTGACTGCAGCATCACTGCAGTTACCCACCAAGTCCCATCTGTTACCTGCTTGGCATCCCTGCTCATAAAGAGACACAAGGCTGGGCCACGGTCATTCCTGGTGGGACTCCATTGACATGGGAGGTGGTACCAGACTGTCACCTTTCCCCTGTTCTTTCATCCAGAAGACTCTGGAAGGCAGTGCGGGAGGCTGCAAAACACTGCTCTCTACTTCACATCCCCACACGGGAGTTTGTCTTTGCAGGAAGAAACATTTTAAGCATTGCAAACAGAAATGATAAAGACAGTGCAACTGGAGAAGAACAGCAGTCAGTTCACTGCAGGTAGCCTCTCAAAAGAAAATACCTCTGGGCCAAATTCAAACCTGGTGTAAACAGAAGTCAATCTTCCAGCAACAGGGGGATTAGCCCCCACTCGCACTAGCTTTCACTTTGCTGCTTGATGTTTATATCACTAGAGACCAAAGAATATACTTGCCAGACAAGAATAGGAATCATTAAGTCTGTGGTCCAAAGTGAGGCGCTGAACCATCTCAAAGAGTGAAGCGTGGTCAAAGTTACAGGGATTGGAAGAGATAAATTCATCCATGCCATGCTTTTGAGCTCTATCTGCATCTGTTCATTTATACATATAGAGAAAGACACCATTTAGAGAGATATAAGACATTTCAGTTGACAAATACAACAGAAAAAAATATACAGTATGAAGCATGAAAGCTAAA